CTCAAAAACGAAAACATTTCAGGAAGAACGAAATGATATGCACGTGAAGTATTTAGAGATTGGGTGCTGATGACTGCAATTCACTTTGCAATACGTCACACAGCGAGATGGGTGGAGGGGGGCTGCCGTGTGACAAAGCAGATGTGATGAAATGTGGGTGGTGCCTGCTGCTCTCCGTAAAATTCCTTCAACTTCTCTGTTGGCAAATCTTCATGTTGAAGAAAACAAGGTAAGCAACAGACTGAAGGAGAAATATGTCCAGCATATAAGAGATTTTTACCCAGAATGTATAAAGAACTAACCATTAATAGAGAAATGAAAAAAACTAGTTGAAAATAACAAAAACCCTTGTATACACCACACACACACACTCCCGCAGAGAAGTCTGGAAGAATGAAGAGAAAGTGGGCTGGGAGCCAGAACAACTTGATTTGAAATAATAAATGTATACATATACACACATACGTAGGTAATTACAAGGCCAGATTCATGTATTGTTTTAAAATAAAGCTCAGCCACGGTCTTTAACCTTTCCAGCACTTAGTCCAGAGTAAAAGTGGCAAGTTACACAATTATTTATTTAGGATATTGTAGCTTATATCCCCAAGTCAGCCTTTAATGTCTGCATGCCTGAATTAGCTCACCCCCAATGCCCAGCACAGGCCTGACACTCTGGGCCCTTCCTTGTGGGCAGTTCCCCGGGGTCTGGGCAGGTGCTGCCGACAAGCCGTTCTCCTGGAGTCCAAGCAGACTTTCCATCTTTGGGGTTCCCCCAGCTCTGACCCAGGGTGAGATGGCAGGGTCTCTGCTGTCATCACTCATCAACGTGGTTTGGAGCTGGCCCCGATACCCCACCTACCAGGGGCTGAGTCATATCTGAACACATGAGCAGACACTGAATCGTCTCAGCAGCCACTTCAAACCCCGGAAGAGTCGTTTTCTTTCCCATGTAACGCACAGCATCGTCTCCAAGTGAGAACTCACAGACCCTACAGGCAGGTGAGGCCCTCTGGCTGGCGAGGGTAGGTGTGGGTGCACACAGTCACGTCATTTCAGCTGTCCCATCACCCTCTTGTGAAATAAATCAGACAGCTCACCAACACCAGTTGAAAGTTTTATTTATATAAAATTCATAAGAACATAAAAGATTGAATTTCTTTAAAAAAAATCTGCAGTTATTTACAGCAGTATTGCACAATAAAGTGGCAATTACCCTGTCAAAATTCATCAGTGCAAACCACAAGTGAGCCAGGGAAATTGCAATACAAAGGCTACATACGCTGGGTCCTACACACACATTAGCGATGAATCAGCACACACACAGATCAGTGCTCTTTGCACAGGAGTACCTGATGAGTTTGGATACAGTGACGAGTGGTCACAGGACCTGGACGCAGAACTTAGGAGAGCTTCTACAGTCTGGAATTGTCCAATACAAGTAGTCAAGTTACTTCGCTGGGAGCTGGAAGAGGCTTCTTGCATGCCGTGTTGTTTGGAGTAGAACAGAAGCTATCCCAGCTGGTTTAGCCTCATGTGTGAACACACCCCTGCACACACTCGTGTGCAGAGTGAGTACACACAGGCACCAGGCTAATCAGCAGGGATGACAGACTATCTACACCGAACCCCCAGTGGGGCCCCCAACCTCTCCTGAAGCAGGACTTCAACCCGAAGCAGGCTGATCCACAGGGAGCATGTTCAGGGCTGGGGGCCTGCACAATGAGCTCCTGGGCAGTGGAGCCCACACCTCGGAGCACGGAAGCTGCACAGCAGGTGGAGGACGCAGCTCGCCAGGTGCTAAGAAAGGCTGAGTGGCAGGAGGGTCCTCAAGTCCTCCGGAGGCAGGAACCACCTGTCTCCTCCCACTTGGCCCCTGCCCTCTGAATACTGAGTTGTCAGGTATACATGGTCAATGGATACATCTGTCCCAACTGCCAATAACACATTTCTTCTTTTTTACAAGACAAGGCCTGGAGTTAATAGAAGTTGCTTCCATGAGAAGCAAGTGTTTTGGAACAAAGAGAAAGTCACTGGGTGTTTCTTGGAGAATTTTACAGGCTGCCAGATTTATGGTCTCTCACTGGTGTCTAAACATGAGCTTCATCAAAGGAGAGCAAAGCCCAAGAATTTAAACCCATTTGACCAGAAATACCGGGAACCGAAGCTGGAAGGCCACCAGGGGAAGACCGCGTGGCCTGCGGTGAGCTGACCAGTCACCTCGGAGTTAAAGCAGTTAACGGGATGGCAGGGGCAGGGGTGTGCCAAGGTCAACACTTTCCAGAACTTAAGACATTAAATAAGCAGGAAATAAATATACAACATTTCTACAAGTTACAGCACTAGGAACCAGTAGGACACGTTACACAGAAAAAGAATCTACAGTATTTACAATCCTTAATTCTGAAAAAGTTTAATAAACACTGATTTTTTTTTTTTTTTTTTTGCTCATTTATGCTGTACAAAATTTTACAAGAAAGATAAAGGAAATAATTGCACACAGACATTTGGCTCAGTTGGTGAGTAAAATATGATCTAATCTAATAAATAGTCAACGTATGTACAATATTAAGAAGGGGAAACAGGAGAAGGTTCGACTGCGTGCATGTTTTTACCAGAAGGAGTTTTTACCTGGTTTCTCCACAACAAAAATTCTTCAAAAACTCGTTTCTAGTCAGGAGAACAGGTAACTTGAAGAATTCCCATGAAGTTACTTTGGGTGTGTTTATTGCATTTCTGTGACAGTCACAGGACACTTTTCCATAAACCTCACATGAGAAGAGGAGGTCAAGGCACAAAACCTGAATTTTCGTTAAGTTTTCCAAAAGGGAGCTAGTTATTTTTTTCTACAAAAAATAAAAAAAACATAAAACAGGAAGTACAAGGTATACCACAGAAGGTATACTTTCTGCAGGAAGCATCTTGAAACAAAGATACATACAGTACAGAGACATCCAGTCCTCTCTCAAGTCCTGGCACAGCGCCCTGTCCTCAGCACTTGTACACGTCAGAGAATCTGAGTTCCTCCCAAGCGGCGCACGAGCCAGAGGTACACCAGCGGAGGCAGCCCTCGGCGGGCCGCCCGCACTCCCGGGAACAGGGTAAAGTGCTCCAGCCAGAGAGCCCGGCACGAGTACGGAGGTCCTGGGAGCGGACGGGCCCGGACCGTGTATGTCTTTGGTGTGTCCAGTAGGCTTGCGGCCGCCATTCTACCGCCACCTCAAAACCGTGTGGCCTTTGGGACCCCGTGGGGGCTCCAGACCTAACAAGAACATAAGCTCAGACTCAACACAGTTTTAAAAATATTCAAGACCCCAAGAAAGTATTTGGGGAAAAGGAATTTTACAAAAGGAAGAATATTTGGGATCAAATCTCTAACTAAAGAAAGAAGTGAGTATGCAAAATATATATATATGTATATATATATATACACAAACACACACACATATATACATATATGTATACATATATATTTATATAAAACTATGGAGATACACATAATGCATTTCTCCACTCAATTTAATAATGTGAAAACACTGTTCTCAATGGGCCAAAAGCAAATACAATATTTGTCGGCACTGGTGACTCATTCGTAAAATCACGTATTTCTCTTAAAAAGCAGTTTCATGCTGAGGTTTCAAAAACGGGAGGAGTTACAGAGTTCACAGAATGATCTGCACTTTCCTTCCTTCCTTCCCTGCTCGCTAAGCTCTCTCGGGCCCCCCCCCACCGTGTAACTGCCTTTGAAATGACTGACCCCCGTGGGCCCCCACTCACAACCCTCACAGGCCCGTGGAGGAGAAGGGCACAAGAGAGGCCTGACAAAACCCAGCTGTCCCAAAAGAAAAGAACAAGTAGACATCTGTCAAGAAGGGACTGTTTCAGACTTGGGCCTCGTGGCTTCTGTATTGGCTCTGCTCAAAGCAGAATCACACCTGTATTTCAGAGCGGGTGTAGGAGAGTGAGAACCACGTGAGCACCCAAGGCCAGACTAACTCTGAGCTGGATGTAAAGCCAGAAGAAGCCGTCCAAAGCCCTGCCCACGGCCTGTGCGAATTCCCACGAGGACTCCAGCTTGGACACCTGCAGCCAAATTCAGCAAGGTGGGCACGTCAGCCAGGTGGGACTGCGTGCTGACCGTGCCCCCATGATGAGGGGAAAGCCGACAGTGCCAAGGGCCCTAATACTGTCTGTTCCCACCTCTCACCTCTCCAGAACACCTGTACAACGCAAGCCCACCAAACCACGTGGAAACCAGTACCAAGTACTGCCCAGTTAGAGAGCTACCACTAGACCAACTGAGCCGTGGATGGCACAGGCGGACACGGAGTCACGTTCTGAGCCTGTTACCGCAAAGTGCACCGGGCCAAACCTGTGCATCAGCGCCCAGGATGGACGCCAGGAGCACCACAGGAAGAGGTAAGGAGAAGCACACACAGAGGCCGAAATTCCACTGCAGATGCAACTGAATTTAGGAGGTGACCCAGTATTTACAAATGAGAGTGATGTAGCCATACTGGTCAACGAAAGACCCTTTACTTCCTAAGAACTTTTTGGTAATGATGATTTAAAAAAGGCGAGAGGGGCCACGGCAGGAGAAAGGGGCCACCTCATACACACCTCTTACATCTAGAAATTCTGTACAGTAGGCCTGTAAAAATAAACTAAGGCAGCTTTAGAAATTAGCTGGCTCAGTTTCCACTTCGATTTACATAACACGTTCTTAAATTTTCAGTAAAAATTCATGTATGAGTTGGTTAGAAATTTCCATTTCCTTTTTAAAAAAAATCTGTTCTTATACTACTCTTGCATAAAATCCTGCTCCAAAGAACCATGATTAGTACACTTTTTTTAAGAAAAAGAAAATACGCTCTTCATTTACATTCATAACAAACTCCATTACAGACTCTGCCGCGTGGCTGGTGACGCGCCAACAAGGTCAGTCCGCACGCAGCCCCAGGGCGGGCACGGCCCCTCTGGGGTGCAGCCGCAGCCGCGTGGCAATGGCACAGCACCGGAGGCCGCAGTGCTGGGCTCGTGGCCTCCAACAAGTGAAACGTCTGCAGACATCTCGGCTCCGAGGGGAACCCGTCGTCACTGCATCCTCCTCACCAGACGGAGGATGTAATGGAACAGTCGTAAGACAACCATTTGGGGGTGGGCTTCTTCTTCTTCGTAGTTATTCAAATAGACCTGAAACAACAAGAGAAAGCTTCTTACTTCCTCAGCCGTCACTGAAGTGAACCCATCCCATCTCAGCAGCTACGGAGGCCCCTCCTCCCTGGGACAGCGGACGGAGGGCCTCCCACGTCCCTTGCAGGAGGAGATGCCACTCCCCAAGGGGCAGGCATGCCGAATGATCATCTTCTTCAAAGAAAAGCAAAGCAACCAAAAGAGGGTCTGAGAAACTCACGGAGAACCAGTCCTGGCACCTCTGTGAGCCCCTCTGAAAGCCATGCGTTCCTGTCACAGGTGAAGCCATCACACGCCTTGGTCAGGAGACGCGCTGGCCGCTGGGAAAGGAGCGTCCCCTCCGAGGACCGCCGCCCAGCCACTGCGGCTGGTGTCCCGCGAAGGGCGAAAGGGTGCAGGGGAGAGGAAAGAATGAACTTGGAAGATGCAAAGGAGCTCACAGCCGATGTTACTGACACTCAAGTATGAATTTCGGGGGCTGTAACTGACTTGAGAAACTAGTGACGTGGGGTAACGTGCTCCAGGAAGCTCGATACAGTAGCGCGCTGGCTGTTTGCCCAGCACCATGCCCAAGTCACAGACACAAGCGAGTCCCCCCCAGCCCCTGCACCCCACTGTGGGGAGCAGCACAGTGAGAAAGGAAAAGGCCTCTCCACCAGTGACCACGCGTCCGTTGCCAACAAGCCTAGGAACTGCAGAAGGAAGCTGCAGGTGCCCGCCAGGTCTGAGGCTTCAGGGCCCACTTCCAGTTCTAACCCACTTGCAGGCAGTTCAAGGTGTCCATTCAACCAGCCGGAGAGGTGAGAGCGCACATCCAACTCCATGCCAGCAGTGACAACCATGTCCCAGGCCAGCTCTGCGGGTGATCCTACTTGGTTCCTTAATGGGAACCTGCACCAGAGACCAGCGCTCTCTGCTCTGTCTGGGGAGGCTCCTAACACCCACCGGCACGGCCCCACCGGCCACGAGCTGGGCCGAGGACAGGGGTCCGGTCTCAGACCCCACACCACCCGCCGACAGCGGCTGCAGTGCAGCTCCCTCCCAGACGGTCTCCCCGAGGTCGCGAGCACCGGCTGGCCGGACCGGGCTGCAGCGAGGCCAAGCACTGCCCTTCCTCGCAGACCTGCTGCAGGAGTCAGCCCTCCGCCATCCCTGCAGCACGCTCCCGGAACCACAGCCTGCAACGGCGTCTGTCACACACCAGATGGCTTTGTTTTGATTTAACTTTCAAAATTACTTGCTCCTTCTGTGTGAGAAGAATTTAGGGGAAGGTTTCAGACTAATATTAATAGTTTGAAAGAGGCTTATTCAAAATAAAACCACGACTTACTAAGACAAAGAAAGTGTGCACAATGCTCGGCCCAAGAATCACTTGGCGGGGAAGCCGCCTATCAACCCGGTGTCAGCGGGGGGGGAGGGGGGGGGGATAACACCCACCAGGGGCTGGTCACATTGGGGACAGACCCCACTGCTCACTCACTGACTTTCTACTTCAGAACCAGCAGTGTCTGAGAAGACACCTCCCCCGGTGAGGACCGGGGTGACGGTGGCTGTGGCAGTGGAGAAGGCAAACCCGAGAGGTCTGCCACGCTCTCAGAGATTCGCCTTTATTGCAAATGTAAAGGCACAAAGGGGACTCAAGGACATGCTGGGAGGGGATGATGGCAAAGGGAAGGCCCCCCCGACAGCTGAGCAGGGGCTGCACCATCTCAGTGACAAGGGTGTCCAAAGCCCGCCTTCTCACATGCGTGGCGACACGCACACGCTGCAAGCCAGTGAAAAATTGCTTCTGGACACCATTCAACAAAGGAAGCCATTGCTCCTGATTCCAAGGGCTGTGCCAGCCCAGAACACCTCCGACAGCTGGCACAGCGGGTCAAGCTGCTGCCAGCTCCAAGGGTCCAGCCCCAGCTCAGAGACAGCTGGATGGGCATCCTGCTCACTGCCCTCCAACACCTGCCCCGCACAGCGAGCTCCAGCACTCGGGGCCTGACGGCGCTAACACGGGGCAGGTGCATGAGAGGACATCCGGCCAGGCCCCCACCACCATGAGCTCGCAGGCTTCTGGCCTCCTGGAGTGTGAAGAAACACATTTCCGCTGCTGAAGCCCCGTGTGTGGTCCTTTGGTATGACAGCCGGAGCTGACGTCCACACCCTCTCATTCCTGGTCCATGCTCTCCGTGAAGAGCAGCACCTCTTAGATCAGAGTCGTGATTCACGGTTTTAGTCTAAATCATAAAAATACTTCGGGAAGATCTACCCCAGCACTGAGAGCCTCCTCTGTGGCTCCCACACGCCCAGCCACAGGCACCTGAGTGCAGGGCCCATCCCGCTGGGACGTCACCTCCATGGTCTAGATCAGGAACTGCACTATTTGGAGAAACCGACGTCATGGCCAGCCCACGTCTGCAACCCCTTCAACAGCAGGACCCCGCTCCTGACAGTCCACACTCCTCCCAGCAGGGGCGGGCCCCCGGCTGCGGCTCGGAAGCAGGCGCCTGCACCCACTGGGCGTGAGGAGCAGAGCTACCGCAGCGAGCGCAGCTACGCACGGCCCGTCCTCAGGGGCCCGGGTGCTGCCCTTGTGAGGACGGCCGAGGAGGACACTGTGCTGCCCCATCTCTGGAACCAGGAGGGAGCGTGTACAAGTTCCCATCTCGAGGACAGAAAAGCACCTGCATTCCAGAGCAACAGGCTGACCGCAGAATCGGAAAGGCCCCTTTCCATCAGGAGAAATGTAGCAGCACCTCCTGTCCAGAGCCCACGCTCCAGTGAGGGACAGGAGCCACTCAACAAGCTGGAAGGCAGAGAGGGGGCCTTCGCTAGAGGTGGCTGGGGGGGGGGGGGGGGCGTTGGGCAGGAGCTGAAGGCCCAGGGCCAATCCCCACGCTGAGTCCCAAAGGAAGAAGGTTCCTCAGAAAGGAGAGAGCATCCCAGGAGACCAGGGTAATGGCAGGACGGCAGAAGGGCTCTGGGCTGGGGAAGGAGCAAACAGCTCCATAAAAATCCTATTTTAGATGATTTCCCATAATAATCCGCAATGGAAAACGATGCCAAATTCCAAGGTGTTCCCTACAAGAACAGTCCCTGAAAACAGGAAGACGGTGGATTCACGGGCTCCGTTTCCCTGGCGAGGCCCCAGGACCGCAGAGACGCCGGCTCACCTGGCAGCAGCTGGAGCGGGGCTGTCCGTGGCACGCCCGAGAGCGGGTCCCTGGTGACTCACCCCGCGCTGGGAGCGGCCAGCCAGGGAAGACGACGCCGGCCCAGCCGGTGTGCGGGGCAGGGGCTGGGGTGTTCCCCAGGCTCAAGCCACCTGTGTACAGCAGCCCAGAGCACAGAGGACGACGACAGTGTCCGCCACCACCCAGGACCATCTTCCACTTATATCCCAAGTAACATCTCAGGTTACACTAGGGGACTGAATTACATTTTAACACCAAAATAATCACAGCAAAACGTGCTCTCTTGTCCAATCCAGGGAAGTACGTGTGCGGGACACCTACTTGTCCCCAGGCGGCCCGGGAGCTGGGGCGGATGACACTGCACACCTGCCCATGCAGCTTTCCCCCCCCCGGGACACAGGCCTCCAGACCACGCGCCCCAGTGGTGGCGAGAAGAGTCCCTGCTACCACTCAACCAAACAACTGGCCTTTCGGTCTTCACAGTGACCCTCAGCTGGCTGGCAGTGACACTGAGCCAAAGTGAGATTCAAGAACCAAGTGATCCCAACGACTCAGCTGCAGGCCGAGCGCAGGCCACCCGCCGGCTCCAAAGGCAGGGACAGACAGCGTGAGCACCGCACACACACACTCGAAGCCAATTTTTAAACTTGCTCAAAACCTGCTTTCTTACAAGGTTTCAATAATGAACGCCCAAGATCTCCTAAGCTTTTTAAAAATAAAGGATGCGTCTTTAAGTGGTGACATTTATAGAAGACTGGACAATGAGACCAAAAGGACGTGGACATGGAAGGAACTGTTCCAGGTTTAGGCAAGTGAGGACACAGGTCCGTCTGGATGGCGTCTGCTTCCCCAGGGGCTGTCACGGCATCTCTGGGACGGTGCTGAGCACCATCATCATCGGAGGTGACAAGGTGAGGTGGGACCGAGAGTTCCCGAGGGAAGACCACCATCCTATGCCCATTCAAACCCACCAATCTAGAAAGAATTTCAAATGACAAGTGATGAGACAGGCTGGAGGACCAGGAACCCTGCGTAACGAGCAGTGTGGAGATCTCCGGAGACGTGTGGCCTCTGTCCACGGAGAGACCCAGGCCCAGCCCACAGCACGTCTGCTTGGGCTTTACGTGGCCCCGCCATCCACTGCTGTGAGCCGTCAGGCCGATGCTGCTGCAAAGCAGCCCAAGACCCACTTCACTTCTGCTTGTCACCAGGCAATGGGGGCATTTGCATAGCCTGTGCCAGGCGCTCGGCTGTCAGCACAGCTGTGGGCAGGCACCTGGGCCCCTACGGCGGCAGTGCTCCTACCTGGAAGCAGGAGGGGCCTCCTGAGGCCACGGCTGACGCAGCCGGGCAGCGATGCGATGCTCACAGCGACGGCACTGGCGTGAAGGCCACTTTCCATTTCCGATGCATCATTTCAAAGAACTGTGGCAGTCAGGGCCTTCTGTGGGACCACTGACGCCTCCTCCGGTTCACCTTAGTCCAGCCGGCCATGAGCTGGGTGTTCCTCACACACACGCACGTCCACCCGCAGTCCCGAGGCACGGGCCCCCGGGGGCCAGGCTGGCTGGAATGAAGGGCCCACATTACCTGCGAGGGGTCACAGGAGGGCCAACCAAGGCAGGCCAGTGTTCCGAAACACCCAGCCTCAGAAACATGCTAATGAGACGTACACGCTAACCACAGCCTGAACCTCTGCGCGCCGGCCCAGCTGGCAGAAGTCTAGTGCGAGGCAGGACGTCTGCAGAGGGGCCGGGGCTCCCCTCCGGGACATCTTCATTTCCTCCTCAGGAGATTAGATCCCCCCAGTGAGAC